CCCACCCATCTATCCCCCCACCTGCCCACCATACATTACTACTACATTTATCATATCCAAATATCAACCAAGCCCTTAATTTTGCAGATGATCTTTCACTGTTCAGAAAGATCACCTCCACACAAGTAAATTTCTATACTGAAGAAAAACACAAAGACATTAAGTTATTGACTATACAACTGTAGCAATGATGATTACCGACGTAGAGCTTCCCAAATCTGTTTTCCTTTAATAATTATGTCATAATTGGTCTTCTCATTCAGCTGGCGGCTCTGTTTTATTTCCTTCTTTTTCTTCTTGATGTCAGCCCACTTAGGCTTTTTAGGTTGGGAGCCTAATGATAAACAAAATGTCGTTTTCGAGGTTAATGTGTAGTGAATACCATCTGTACTAATTAATACTGCACCAAATGTTTAAAGTTATGTTTTTCTGGGTTCTCATCCAAGATCTTCAAGTAATTTTGATTCATTGTGTCCTAATTGTAATTTCAGCAATGACAGGTTTTGAAGAAATAGCTAACTTTTAATTGAGGCCTCTTCGTCTAAAACCTGTATCAGTGTTGAATCAAAACCTGAGTCTATTTTGGTGTGGTCTGATTTGGAAGTGACAGAGGTTCTTTTATAGCCTTTCTACCCAAGGACCCTTTTTAAAACTGCAAAACCATTGAAGGCAGCTGTTAGATTAGTACATTTAACATTCTTACCTTCTGTATCACCTTGAAATTTGCGCTTTCTGGAAACATTCCCTGAGAGTTGCTTACTTTTCCAATGTTTCACGCCAGTTTTATTAGGTTTTTTGCCTCCTTTTTCATTTTTCTTAGATTTAAATGTGGGTTTTATATCTTCATTTTTTCTAATGACTCTCTTTGGATGACCAGGATCTGCTTTAATGTTTTAGAGAAAAAGTTCCCAAAGTCAACAAACAATTTGCTTATACTATAAGTATTATATTGTATTTATTCTTAATCCAGCTTTGACAGTTTAATTCCTTTCCTCCAAGTACTTTCATCAACTGAAATTAAAATGTATTTTGTAGAGTCCACATTGTTGATAAACATACTTAGATCATGAGAAAACTTCTTTGGTTTCAAACAAAATATTCAAAAGATTGAAAAATAAACATCAGAAAAACCAGTATGCACAAGCATTTAATTTTCAAATAATAATGTGAGGACTCTAGAAAGAAAAAACTGCTCTGCAACATTTAGAGACTGTATTGCAAATGCCAATCTCTGCCAGTATTATGGAATAATTACTATTCAAATGGGCAACTATTAAACCTCCTATCAGTAGTAAAGATAAATCACACACCGGGAAGTCCCAATCAACTATTCCTAAATGCAAATGGGGCTGGGAGTTGTAGCTGGGCAGGATCTGGAGGGATATAGATTCCCCATTCCTACATTGATGGGTAAGATGATGGTACACAAGAATGAAAATATGTTTTTTTTATTATTAGCCAAGTTTAAAAATGCAATTCTTATTTTGATTCCCCATCCCCCACCCCACCCCAATCAAACTGTATATATTGTGATAACTAATGAAGGAAGAAACTGAGCTGAAGGTGGCATCACAAAAAGTGGAGTTATCAGGTGTGGCTGAACGAAGATTCAGCAAGTAAACTAGCTTGCTGAATCAGCAAGTACCCTCCCTAAACATCCCATACACCCCAGCTTTTCAGTAGTACCTCTTTGGACAAGGAATGCTTGAGATCACCCATAAGAGTTCCAGACAGCTGTTCCTCATAAGGAGGACACAAGATAATGGTCTCCAGTGGCTATAGAGCTCTGGGAGACAAGGATATAAGCATCTTCTAAACCATGATTGTCACCTTTGAAAGGATGTTAAGTTTGCATATTTCATTTTTTAAGCACTTGAAGAAATTTCTTGTTAATTGCTTTTCAGCTATTAGAAATGTTTGGACTGGCAACTTTGACAGCAGTGAGCTTTCTTCAATCCTTACTTTAAAAAAAAAAGATTTTAACCAAACGTTTAACAAGTTGTTAAATATACAGCAAAAGGATGATTAAGATTTTGAGAATCCTTCCCTTGGGAAAATGCTTTTGCTTTGGACTTAAAAAAACAACAACAATAAGATTGCAGTTGAATTTACAACTAAAGAAGCACAAACTCAGTTTATAACTGCAACGGTGCCCTGGAAAAATTTCCCAGTATTAGATTTACAAAAGAGGCCTTTTTATAATTTTGAGGAACCCCATGAGAAGGAACATGGACTAAAAATTAAAAGTGTTA